TGAACCTTTTTGTGTATGTGGCCTAATCGTATACTGGAATTTGGCCATTTTACATTGCTGCAACACTGACTAATGAATGACGATTGGGTTAAAAAAAAAGAGAAATTCTATTTATTTCGCCAATCAGACAACAGAAAATGTTATATACGTACATAATTTATTAGCTTCATTAATTGAACGAGCGTTTAGATAATATAATAGGCATTAAAGTTGAGGATTGGGGACTCGCTACGTCACACCTTTGTAGGAAATATCAAAAGCGCGATGTCAAGTGACATTTTAACTTTATATATAGCCGTTATTTAATGTTTACGCAAAAAATATACGTATTCAATAATCTACCTAACGGACAGACGAACAAACATAGTCATCATCTAATTTTGTTTATCAATCCTTTAGATATTTCATATATGTAGTTTGTAATGCAAATATCTTTTATTATAATAATTGTTATTCCGATAGCGGACTTATATCAATGAAATGAAATGAAAATGTCTTTATTCGAGTAAGCTTATTATAAGCACTTTTGAATGGTCCAAAAAAGTTTTTTGCCCATACCACTTGTTCAGGACGTCTTTTACTGACAAGATACTTAACAGCTCTTTATCATAAGTCGCGTCGTTACAGAACAAAGCGAAGGCTATTTATTCCATGCATTGCGATCCTTACAATGAGATCTCACATTTGAGTATGGAACCCTAAAAACCTTTTTCGTTCTACATATCTCACTAAATGTAGAGCAAACATGTCACGTAACCGAATGCCCCAGATACGTCTCACAGTTCACACTAATTAGACTTTATTATGAGATACCAATCTGTAATTTATATCCATAAGGCTTGTACATCAATTGAATTTAAAATTTCTACGGTGATTTTGAAAAACAAAAACGGGCCAAGACATAGGCACAGATAGTGCAACGCGACCCATAGTCAATATCAATGTGAACGTGACAGCTATTGTCAAGTTTGGTACAACTGAGACTTAGGGGCCGTCCATTAATCACGTGATGTTTTTTTTGGCATTTTTTAACCTCCCCTCCCCCATAGTGATACATGGTGAGGTTTACCCCCCCCCCCCCCTCCCCATATATCACGTGTATTTTTAGTACTTACAATGAATCTTAATTTTCTAATTGTATTATAGACAATTAAAGAGTACAATAATGTCTAGAGGTAGACGTTTGACGAAAAAATAATTTTATTACACTTATTTACGCCGCTTTTCGGTTGAGTATCGAAAAAATAAATACACGTGATATGTTACTTCACCCCCCCTCCCCCCTTGTGATAGTTCGTGACTTTTTTATGGACCCCTCCCCCCCTTTCGAGCCTCACGTGATTAATGGACAGCCCCTTAGTTTTCTTGATTTTACATTTTGAGAAGGTGATAAGGTCCCAATACTTTGGGAATCCCGCCTTAGTTACGTAATTACACACTTGTGGCAGCTATTTCTATAGTAAAGATACCTTAACAATGAACAATTGTAACTTCAGCTAAGGTTTGGGTGTTGATAAACATTTGCTAATGATCTCTTTCTTAATTATCAATGCAATTACACAAATACTGAGGTAATGTTAAAATGAAAAGCTGGATGATGCTGTAATTCGATTGTTCGTTCTGCAGTTACAGAGATGAAGCAATTTTCTCAAAGGCCAGTCATAAGATGAGTTACCAAAATGATGAGTTGAATGTAGTTCGGAAGGCACGAGCTTTATCTGTAGGTAGTAGCTAACACCCATCAGTCTACTCTGGGTTCAATTGATATCCGTCTAAAACAAAGAAAAGAGACTCATAAGAATTGTTTTTTATATTCTTCTTTATCTGTTGTTATAGTTTTTTAGGCTATAAATATACCAACTTATCAAGCCTCAAACCTGTAACAATAAACAAAAAATAATATAACAAACAGATTATATCAATTTTTAAATTTATGATAGGTATATAGGTAAAACAATTACACACCCGTTTCCTGGGTTTTATAACAGGTAGAACTTAGTAAATACTTTATAGATGTACGTTTACATTTTTCTTTACTGATTTATATATAATACTCTTTATTGCACTAAATCAGAAAAAGCATATACAAAAAATTACAAAGGTGTTAATAAAAGTAATCACAAAAGTGGACTTATCTCTATTGCTTTATATTGTTAAATTACATAACATGTTTTAGAAGAACACATCGCGTTACTCAAAAATTCAAATTTCGAAAAATGAATAATAAAAAGGAAATTATGTTAAAGGTCAAGACAAAAAGTTTGGATGTGGATACCTAGGACAAAATAAACGGTGTGGCACGATGCACCGTTACATCCGTTCTCTCTATTACGCTCTATGGATAAAGAATGTGTTTCAGCATTGGGCACATTAAATAATCAGATGTCAAACTGCTTTTTCAATTCTACAAACATAATCAATACATAATATAAAACAAAATTTACATCTTTCTGTTTGATTATAAGATAGGATGATTTAAAAAAGAAGGTTGTTATACGAGGGTCAAACTGAAAGTTCTTAGAACTGGCCACTTATAAACAATATAATAAAAAAATAATTCTAAAATTTGAAAATATAACTCTTTGCCAATATTACTGAGTATATATTTCATTCATTTGTCATTTGTTTTACGATTTGGCGGCAAATTGAAAATTGTCTGTGTCACGTCATCATGAATTTAACACGAGAAAATTTTCGTGCAATGATTTTTTATGACTTTCGATGTCATTTAAGTCAACAAGAAAGTTATGATAGACTACGATTGGCCTTTCACGATGAAGCCCCATCTCGTGCGACTGTTTACAACTGGTTTAATGAGTTTAAAACGTGGTCGCACTAATCTCACTGATGATTTACGTGAGGGACGGCCTTCTACGGCGACGACTGAAGATAACATCTATGTTGTGCGGCGTATGATAGAGACTGACAAAAGAGTGACCTATCAACAGATTCGGACAAGCTTAGGCATCGGTATGAGTCAAGTGCACAAAATCCTCCACGAACATTTAGCGGTCAGGAAGCTTTGCGCCCGGTGGATACCTCATAATTTGACTGAGGCTCAAAAACTCCATCGTGTGGATTGGTGTCGTAAAATGATTGAAAGATTTAACGGAGGTGACTCAAATGCTGTGTTCGACATACTAACAGGTGACGAAAGCTGGATTTACTGTTATGATCCTAAAACCAAAAGACAATCTGCTCAGTGGGTGTTTCCTTTCGAGGAGTTGCCAACTAAAGTGAAGAGAGATCGAAGTGCGGGAAAAAAAATGGTGGCCTCGTTCTTTGGAAGGATAGGTCATTTTGCAACAATTGTGTTAGAGGATCAAAAAACAGTTTCTGCAGAATGGTACACTACCAATTGTTTGCCACTTGTCTTGAAAAAAGTTCGAGAGAAACGACCTCGCAGTAGGATCCTCCTTCACCACGACAACGCCTCGTCGCACACCGCCAAGCGAACGATCGACTATTTGGCGACATCAAACGTTGAATTACAGGGTCACCCGCCGTATAGCCCCGACCTCGCGCCTTGTGATTTTTATTTATTTCCAAAAATTAAAGAAAAACTTAAAGGAAAGCGGTTTATGAATGCTGAAGAAGCGGTGGCTGCGTATCGCGATGCCATTGAAGAGACCCCTAAGGACGAGTGGGCAAAGTGCTTTTCCCAGTGGTTCCATCGCATGCAGCGGTGTATTGACGTGAATGGACAATATTTTGAAAAGATATAATAAAACTAATAACTGGCTAATGTAATCAGTTTTTGATTTTCTAAGAACTTTCAGTTTGACCCTCGTATACGAGTATAATACAGGACCAAGGTGCCGAAACTGCTGAAGGAAAGCTAGATAAATTAAATTCATAATTTGATTTTAAAAAATCGTTTTATATTTTAGTTATATATTTCTGTTTACTCAGACTTGAATTTAAAGATTTACTTTTTGTCTTAAGCTTGTCCCCTATTTGTACCTAATATGTTTGTAACTGGGCTTTGTAATAAATAAATATAAATTTAAAATTAGTTTCTGAAATTATTTTACCTCTTTTGTATGATTTTAAAAGTATAATAAATCATATTATAATCTAATTAAATACATAAAATTATGTGTTGTATTGAAAATAAACTAATTTTTGAGACTTAAAAGAGAGCGTGTGAAAAGCTTTCTCATAAAATTTCTACATTATATATTTAGTATAAAAGTCCTGTCATTAAACAACTATGGGCTCAAATATTAATAAAAAATATGTTAAGTAACGTTGCGTGAATTTATTTTGCATTATTCATTACAACTTTCCCTCATTCATATTAATCAATAAGTAATAATTAAAAACTTGTTGATGAATAAATATGTATTAACTTTGGAGCACAAAAATTATAATATGTAGTACATTAGACACTGTACTTGTTCTATCACAGATTAAGTAATTCTTAACTTATTTAAACTTCTTTGCACAAATAAAACGTACAAATGGCGGACTTAATGGCAGTAGGCATTCTTTACCGGTCAACGGAAGATCTACTATTGAACTGAAGAGTTATGGAATAGATACATTAATAAGGTGGTGCTACAAAAAGAAATATTAATGTATTTAAATAAACTTTCTCTACGTAGTTGGGAGGCTGATTACCGCGGGTAACGGTTAGTTTGTTAATATATTTAATGCACCCTTCCAGAAATCAAACCAAAGAAAAACAAGACAAAATATAGTGTGTATTGTCAATTGAACGTTAGACTATACAAAATTGTAAAAAGTCCCTTAATATATTGAGGGTAGAGGTCAAAATCCATTGCAGAAATTTGATATATTGTAGTAACCTGACGTGCACCCTTGGGAACTGTAAAATTAATATTAACAAAATCAATCTGAGATGTAGATGTCCAGTAATTATCAGAAATAAAAAAAAGATTAGGATTAATTATTTAGCTACAAATCCCATTCGAAGATCTCATGACATAATTATTACGTAAAAAATCTCTTAATATTAACTAATAATATTAATCAATATGGTAAACGAGTGAAATTAATTTTGTTACATAAAGATATTTAGAATTCGCATCGCATTTAATAGAATCAATAGGCAAAACAGAAAACATAAACCCGCCCTGCATCATAGCCTGAACATATGGCTTTCTAGAAATGAAATCGGCCTTTCGAAAGATATTTTAGACTGCTATAACTTTTCCTTGTTCATTCAAACTGCTATAACTTATCCTTATTCATTCAAATTCTATCTATATATCTCAACAGGAAAGCTTTTTTGTAATGGAAAATTTCAAAAATTACAGAACCTGTTTTGAAAATTCTTTAACCAATATAAAACTACGTTATGAGCGAGAAGGCTAGACATGTGGCTTTTTTCTTAAGCATATTTACTTTGAAATCACAAAAAACATAAAAAACATAACAAACATATGTTGCACCAACCTATGTGATGCTATTTCAGTCCTAAAATATCCATCCATCATTTAGTCCTAATTGACCTCATTATTACTTCTTGCAGATACCAATTTTACTGGCAGCAACCTCAGTGCGATCGCAGCAATCTAACTTTTACCATCCACAACAATCAGCTGCATCAGAAGCTCAGATCAGATTTGCTAAAGAAAACAAATATGATGACACAGGTCCCGGAGCCAAAGGACCAGAATACGCTTACAGCACCTTTAAAAGACTAGAAGACGCTCTAGTTGGATATGTAGATGATCCAGATACAAAGCTGCCAGAGTTCGAGAAAGCGAAGGGCATACAGCAGCTATATAGAAGTCAGCAAAAAGAGAAACCTCTTTTTAAAGCCAATCCGTTCTTGTTACGACCATCTCAAACGCTGAAGGGTTCACTTTTGCGTCATGAGGATACTCAGTCGGCAGTATTACCATTCAAGCAAAGCGAAACGTTTAGTTTTCTTCCTGAAGAAATGAATACAAAAGTTGAACAGATCAAGGTTCTAAAATTGCAGCCAGTGAAGAGTAGCCCTCTGAACTTAGCGCACTTCACCAGAGACTCTGATGTTGATACAAACAATTTAAATTCCAGTCCCAGCTACACGTATTCTTATGGAGTGCACGTAAGTAGAGCTTGTTATTAAATCTTTGTACTTAAAGAATCATGTGTGACGTCGGGAACGTCTGTTACAATTTCACATTTATTTAGTCGTTATTCTATTTCTTAATAAAATACTAAATATATCACTTGTAAACGAAGTTAAGACCTTTTCGAATATATTAGTAATTGTGCATATATTTTTAGGGAAAGTTGAAGAGAAATGTTGTTCAGAAAAATCAGGGAACACTTTACGATTTTATTTATGGGATTAAATTTGGATAGGTCAGTAAAATTTTGTATAAATACAACTTGTATTCAGTTGCGGGACGAATACACTATAAATAAATGTGGATCGTTGAGAGACAAATTTATATGTGGGTAAAAGTTCTCCTAGAAACAATGGAAAAGAATTTAATAGCTGTGCTTTCTAAAAATGCAGTTGTTCAGTTTACGGGTTTACATTTCAATAAATAAGTGGTACGGGTAACGTAACAGGTCTGGAAAAAAATAGATATAGTCACCCACAAAATCTTCAATTACTCCGAGATCATGGTGCTTGAAACAGCAGCGTGTAAATATAAGAAACTCGATAAATATAAGGTTTATGGTAGCAATGCCGTAACTAACAATTATTCTAATATTAATGACCATGAAAAGTTTAAAAAACTTATTGTCCTTCTATAATTTATTAATTAGCACGTATAGCATGATGGCTGGGACTCCAAACGAGTAAATATTTCTTTCGGCTGTTTGAGTGCATTGCCTTAGCATTGATAAAAATACGCTCTGTAGTTGCGCAAAAAGTAACAAGTCCTTGAAAGATTCGTCAGTTCTTTTAGGTCCTGGGTAGCTCAGTGGTTGAGCAGTCAACCCGGATTGCGAAAGATCATGGGTTCGAGTCCCATCTCAGAGTGCCAGAGGCAAAGTGGATTTTTTAATAATTTTTCTTTAAGAACTTTATCTTTTTATAATTTTAGTAAGGAATTTTCAAGCTTATCTTACTCACATAACACTATCTCAGACTCGACCCGAAAAAGATGTGCCCAAAACCTTTCTCAACTATGTCATACAACGCGTGATTGTTTTAGTAATGAAGGCGTTTGAAGTTTTGCGTGTGTTCTGTAGTTAAATTTTATATAAATTGTTTTAAGTGAAATATAAAAACCTTGAATAAATTACGAATAATAACGCGTTAGCGTGAAACTCATATGCATACTAAATTAATTATTAGAACTATCATTAAACAGTTATCAATGAAACGCGTATTTACGAAGAGTTAACAAAACAATTATATGTAAACCTTCGATGTGCTCTAGTAAATATCAGTTATTGCCAACCGTATAAACACTTTCGTATTACCACCTTATTAAAATGCAATAAGAACGTTATTAGCAATGTCGATTTCAGATTTATGTGATTTCACAAGGTCTTTTGTGTAAAATTTGAATCTGCATAACACATAGACCTTTTTTGCGAACTAAATAAATTTATTTCGCGGTCGGATGGTTATTCGATGTTCAATTTGATGATTTCTTTTTATTTGTAAACAAACATTGAAACGTTAGTTATTTATCAGTTATAGTATATAATACTTTCTAGATTCCATATTTTGTATACTTACACTATTGTTTTTATATGATTTGCTCTATTATGTTATTCTGTTATGAAGCCCCCACCAACTCGACGTTAAAAACAGCGTGACAGTAGACTATATTACTTTTTGAAGTAGGTTTTATTTGGTTGAACCTTTATGTTATGCCAGCGGTACGGTCGACGTCAACATCGACTTCGCGAGAGGCTCTTCCGTTCTCGCGATCTGCATAGTGATTTCGTAAAGTTCCGAACCCTAATTCGAATTCACTCGGGTGACAGAATTCACGTTATTGACGGCCGGTTTCTGAATTGAGAAAAGTGCAAAATCTCAACTGATTATTCTCAATAACTTAATTTTTTATGTTATACATGGCAAAAAGTACTAGTTTTAGCAAACTGCTATCAACTGATCATTAAAAATATTAAAATCAGAAACAAAAACCTGTTTCAACGACATTTGAAATGTCTTAAGTTCGGTTTGAGACGTACTTAACTGTAAATTCTCAATTCAGAAACCGGGTGTTAGTCGAATTTCTTTTGATTCAATCCTTTTTGGATAAAAATATAAAACAAGATTGATTGATTTATACGTGACACAGATATTCTATCCCTATATCATTTCGAAACTCACTACTCTTATGCCACGAAACGTTAATAACAATTCAAGGTTAAGCGGATATCACTTTCGAAGTAAATTCGGACACTTGAGTGAATTCGAATTCGGCTTCGGATTTAACGGAAAATGACATTAACAAAGTTAGTAAAACTACATCTCAAATGTGACGATATACCTCAGTCAATAAAAAAACATGGAATTAATCGATTAATTCTCCTATGTACTACGCAGTTTTACTCAACATTTCAACACAAAGCGACGCTGTTTCGAAGTCACCGCGTATTGTGAGATTGGCTTTGGTTGGGTCACGTTTCCCGGATGCCCGGTTGTACTATTTGAAAATGACTGATATCTCAGTTGTTTTTCGAGCTCACAAGTTCTTTTACTCGACCTGAAGCATTTACAAAAAAAACGTGGTGACAGTTTTTCCAGTGAAATAATATTTTTGTGATTACCAGCACATACTGATTGATTTTAATAGAATTTCGATATATTTTTGATTGGTTACATTTTTAATTAACAGTACCGCTCTACAATCCTCCTGTGTTTTTATATCACATAGTTATTGTATTGTTTTTTTTTTGTAGAATGTTACGTCAAGCATAAAATGGATATTATCGAGGAATTTTTGTTTTAATTACAATAATTATAAGAGAATTTTGTCCATGTATTTATTTTAACAATGTAATGAAAAGTCTCTTTACAGACTTTTTTTTTAATTGAACTTCTTTGTACATAAAACGAAAAAGTCATCAGCCCCGCTTAGTTCTTGTCAGTTCCTCGTCCTATTGTGTGTGTCTGTAAATAATTCTAAGTTTGAGTTTGAATATTTTTTTTTAATTCAGCTCATAACTTTCATCCAGTCACTAGTAGTTTCAATTAGTGCTTTCTACTTTCCTTTCATTATATATAGTTCTTTTTTTACAGTTACTGTTACAGTTAATCCTATTGACTTAAACAACAAAATTAAAGCAAAAAAAACTTTATTCAAATAAATTTATATATAAGTACTTTTGAATCGTCCAACGTTTATTCCCCTACCACCCGTTCAGGACGTCTTTTTGCTAACGAAAGAAACTCGCCAGCTCTGACAGAAGTAACAATACAACAATGTCATTATGAGGTCAATAATAATAATATATATTAATTAAATTTGTACAATAAATAACAAGCACATGTGTAAGTAGAACAAAAAAAATAATATTATAAACAGGAAAGATTTGACTGTTTGTTTGTAACGAATAGGCTCCAGAATAACAGAGCTGATTTTAAAAATGCTTTCACCTACGGGAATCTATCTCATATGTGGTAAACATAGGCTATATTAGGGGTATATTAGGGGTGAACATAGGCTATATTAGGGGTTTAAATAAAGGGATGAAAATGGGAATGGATTTCTTTTTTAGTTCTGGCCTTTTTCTGTTAAACACAGAGATTCCGTCAATGTCCCGTTGTGAGGGAGACACTAAAGAAATTACTCGGTAAGTAGTGTTTTACTCGGTAATTCCGTTTTCTTCCTTGAGTTGAATGTAAAATTGTAATTGTAATTGGAATGTAATTTGTACAGAGAATTAAAACGTTACCATAGCAACCATTGTTAAATACTCAATTTGTCATTGTAATTATATCCGTATCATGATATAAAATTTTATGCTAATGAATTATTTAATTAAATTATAAGCCTGGATTAACATATGAGCAATATTTAATCCCACTAAACAGTGCCCTAGGGACAACGCAGGCGAAAACGCTAGCGGAAAGTTAGTCGTTTATAAAGATATAAAATACCACGGATATTAATCCCATGCCTTTAAGTCTTTTAAATAATCTTTGACTTTGTAATAACCTCATGTGAGTATTCCTCATATGGGCTATAATTAAACTTATGTAAAGGCTGTTTAGTTATATCATGCGGCAATTTATTAAAAAAATATTTATAAAGAAATGATTGTAATAAAACTAATATTACATATTCTATTCTCACAAGGAACCCATTTATTTTAACTGTAAAAATAACTATGATCCTAGAGCTTAACATTTTGTTTTTTCTAATTTAACAACCATTATTTACAAAAAATAACTTACAATAAATAAAATTTAACTTAATATAGATACACAACGATTCACATTTCACTTCCACTACCATTCACACAAGTGTAAGCATAATAATCGCCACACTTACATCACACAACACATTTTTAACGTGAAAGTGAACGAATTTTGCGTTAATTCGCAGACAACCGCGAAAGTAGTCCAGCCAACGTTTTAAGCAGCAAGAGATTGTCATACCATATTGATATGAAATAAAATCTATATTTCATCTATAAAGCAAGAGAAAATGTACAATAATGATGATGAATGTTAACAAGAATTTAAATTTATAACACCAGACAAGTGCGAGTCGAACACGCGCACTAAAGTTCCGTGCCGAAAACAACCAAAAAAAATCACATGTTGTATGGGAGCCCTCTTAAATATTTATTTTATTCTGTGTTTTAGTATATGCCGTTAAATCGGTAATGACATGGTTTTTGTAAATGTCATTACTCATATTAGAGCTGGTGAGTTTCTTGCTCGTTCTTCTTATCAGCCAAAAGACGTCCTGAACGAGTGGTAGGGAAAAAATGTTGGACGATTCAAAAGTACTTTTACGAAGTCTATTTGAATAAAGATTATTTTGACTTTGACTTTGACTTTGATCATCTATAAAAATCTCAACTATTTAACTATCACGATTAATGAGATATTATTATATTATATTATCACAGCCTTGTGACAGGAAATAGTCTCGTTTGCTCTATAGGAGTTCCCTTAAATATTTATTTTGTTCTATTTTGTAGTATTTGTAACAAAAAACACATTATCTATGAAGATTTTATCTGTATAACTATCACGGTTCATATGATACAACCCGGTGGCTACAAAATAATCATGTTTGTTGTATGGAAATCCCTTAAATATATATTTTATTTTGATTTTTAGTATTTGTTGTTAAACCGGCAATAGAAACACATTATCTGTGAAGAATTCAACTATCTAACTTCCATTGTTCATGAAATATAACCCTTAGTAA